TTGAGAATGGACCATGTGCACCTGAGAAGAAAGTGAATTAAGTTTTAGTTGGGTGCAGTGTCCTGAATACATCCTCAAGGTCAAGGTGGCTGATTGTATAGTTTAGATCTTCTGCATCTTTGTTGCATTTCTTTTGAATTGACCTATCCTTTGGTGATAGTGATGCTGCTGAAGTAATCTACTACTATTTTGGTGCTATTTCTTTCTTCAGTTATGTTAGTCATTGTTTTGTATATTTTGCAAATCTATCATTTGGTGCATAAATGTTGAGCAAGGTTATGTCTTCTTGATCTATTGTGCCTTTATTCAGTATGTAATGTTCTTACATATCTTTGATGGTGGTTTTCATTCTAAAATTTATTTTATCAGAGACTAGTAATGTCATTCCTGCTTTTTTGAAGTTGCCATTTGTTTGGTATGTTTTTCCCCAGCCTTTGATTTTGGGTCTTTCTTTCTTTTAATTTTTAAAATGTGTCTCTTGTAGATAACATATTGATGGGCTTTGCTTTTTAATTTATTCTGCTACTCTTTTTCTCTTTTTTGGGCACATTTTATTTATTCACATTAAGTGTGATTATTGTCCGGCCAGTTTTACCATTGCCATTTTACTGTGTTTCTTTTTCTGTTGTTTCTGGTTACTATGGCATCTCCCTGTGAAGAACTTCACTTAAAATTTCTTGTAGTTTTGATCTTGTTTTTATAAATTCCTCAAGTTTCTTCTTTACTGCAAAGGATCTAATTTCTCCTTTATTTTTGATGGAGAGCTTTGCTGGGTTTAGGATCCTTGGCTGGCAATTATTTTCTTTCAACTTTGTATATACTTTCCCATTGTCTTCTAAGTCGCCTGGTTCCCACTGAGAAATCAGAGTTTAATCGAATTGTTTCCTCTTTGTAGGTGACTTTTGTCTTATTTTTTGCTGGTTTTGGTATCCTATCCTTATCTTTTAATTTGGAGAATTTGACTATATGTCTTGATGTTTTTCTTTTGGGATCTAGTCTATTTTGTGTTCACTGTGCTCCTTGAATGTGGATTTTCCCATTCTTCAAAATACCTGTAAAGTTTTCTTCTAGTACTTTTTTCACAATTTTCTCAGTGATTTCTACATCATTCTCATGTTCTGGAATTCCAATCATGCATATATTGTTCCTTTTGATGTCATCCCACATGATTGTAACGTTCTCTTAATTTTCTTTACATCTCATCTCTTATTTTTCTTCTATTTTATTATTATTTTTGTGTGTGTGTGCTGTTAAATCAGATCTGACTGGTACAGGAGGAGATTGTCCCTCCCTCTCCACCAGAGTGTCTGGTGGATTCGAACAGCGCACCCCTGGGATTGCAGTGCAGCTTCTTGCCACTATGCCATGAGAGCTCCCTTTCTTATTTTTCTTCTAGTGTGTTTCCAGTGAGACTCTTGTCTTCAAGCTCATTGACTCTTTGTTCCATCTCTTCAGTTCTACTTTTTTGGTCCCACCAGCATGTTGAATACTTCTGCCATTTTGGTCTTAGTATTCTGGATTACATTTTCATGCTTTTCTGTTATTTCCAGTACTGTGTTGGCTGTACCCTCTCTGTCTTGTGATGATTTTTTTAAAGTTCTTATACCTCTTTATATGTACTATTAATTATTTTTTCCATCTTTTACATTTTCCTTATAGCTGTTCAAGGTGTTTCTCATCAGTCTATTTCTTCTGGATTGTTGTCTCTGGAGTATTTGGTCTCTTGTTTCTTCCATTATTTGCATCATCTTCTGTAGCTATTCAAATAACTCAACATCAACATATTTTTTCTGGTTCTACCTGGGGTATTCATGTGGTCTGCTTTTTTAGGAGAAGGGTTATTTTTTTCCCCCTGATGACTAAGGCAGATTGTTTCTTTCTTGACATTATGTATGTCTTTTCTTAGTAGATGTTAGGTTATTGTAACTATATAGTGACTCAGAATATGACAGTGTTTTGTGAATGACCTGTATATCTGTGTTCCTTTCTTTTTTTAAAATTAATTTTAATGAAAGTTTACAGAGACTTAGGGTTTCCAGTCATTTCACTGTTGCACTTTTGTCCCTCCCCCCGATTCATTCTTCTCCTTGAAAAGAAAGAAAAACTTTTTCATTGATATGCAGTCCTCCCACCCCAAGTCCACTCCACTATGCAGCCTTCACTCTGGACTTCTGTAATGACAAGAATACCCATTCATATATCTTTTTTAAACAGTTTGCTCTCTCATCTGTTTCAATGCAATATACCTCATTCTTCCCCTTCTTTTCTGTCTTCCCTCAACCCTGACATCAGTCCCATTTTACAACAGTGGCCCTATGTAATATTTGTCCTTTTGTGACTGAGATATTTTACTCAGCTTAATGTCCTCCAGGGTCATCCATTTTGCATAATATTTCATGAGTTCCTTGTTTTTCAATGCTGTATAGTAGTCCATTGTGTGTATTTAACAGAGCTTCTCTGTCCATTCGTTTGTTGATGGGCACTTGGGTTGTTTCCAGCTCTTTGTTATTGCGATCAAAGCCACAATAATCATTAGTGTGCTTGTGTGTTCCCTTCTTTGCTCAAGGCCTGGAAGGCCAAGGGCTGGACAGAAGTGTTTTTCCCAAAGTACATGAATGGCAAACCAGGAAGCCTGTTGTTCCCTTCCAGAAATGGCATCTCCACCCAGCTCTAGCTGTCCTAGTCCCTTATGCTTGAGTTTAAGGGGTCCTGCTAGACAGCAGTGTTTTCCCCAGAGTACCTGAATATAGTTCTTACTATAATCACAACCTGAATTTAAGGATCTGAACTCTACTTTTGTGATTTCTTTAGCAGCTGAACGTCAGTTACTTCATTGATTTTCTTTATTAATTCAAGTGGCATATCACTTGGCTTTACTGTATTGTTCAATTCATATTCAGTCAGGAAGTTGAAGATTTGCTGCAATGGCAATGGCTACAACAAGACTTGTTGGTCTCATCTCTCCTCAACTCTTGACTGCTGGTAGCAAAGGTGTTGATTGTGAATCCAAGCAAGATGAAGTTATTGACAATTTTAGTATTTTTCTCCATATATCATGATATTGCCTATCAGTTATTAGTGGTGAGGAATTTTGTCTTCTTGATGTTGAGATAAAATCTACATTGAAGGCTGTAGTCTTTTATTTTCTGCTGCAGGTGTTGTTGTTTTTTTTTTTCTTTTAATTTTTATTTTATATTAGTTTGCATACAAAATTCATATTCATTGTTAGTCACACCTTCCTTCATTCACATTGTATTTCATACAATCATTCTCATATATTGTGTTTTATAAAATTAACCCCCACTGAACTATGCCTAACATTACCCCACCTTTTCAGGTCCCTGTGTAGCATTTTAAGTCCTCCTCACTTTCAGCAACCAAGGTTGTGTCACCTGCATAATGCAGGTTGTTGATGAGTCTTTCTTTGTTCTGATGCCACATTCTTCTTCATAGAGTCTAGCTTCTCAAACAATTTACTCAGCATACAAATTGAATAGATATAGAGAAAGGATACAGCCCTGATGTATACCTTTCTTGATTTTAAACTATGTACTATTCCCTTGCTCTGTTAAGTTTAGGTTATCATGAGCACAATTAGGAGTTCTGGGATTCACATTTTTCTCAATGTTCACTGTAGTTTGTTGTGATCAACACAGTCAAATAAATGCCTTTGCATTGCCTCTAAAACATAAATAGACATCCTGCTGGTATTCTCTGCTTCCAGGCAAGAACCATCTGACATCAGAAATAATATTCCTAGTGCTATGCTGCTTCTAAATCTAGCTTGAACTTCTGGAAGTTCTCTGTCAGTATACCGTTCTAGCCATGTTTGGATGATTTTCAGCAATATTTGCTTGCATATGATATTAGAGATACAGTTCAATAATTTCCACATTCTGTTAGATCACCTTTCATAGGAATGGGAACAAATATAGATCTCTTTCAGTCAGGTGGCCAGAGAGCTGTCTTCCATGTTTCCTGACACAGATTGGTGAGCATGCTTAGGTCTCCATCTGTTAGTTGAAACATGCCAATTGGTATCCTATCAATTTCTGGGACCTTATTTTTTACCCATGCCTTTAGTACAGCTTGTTCTTATCATATGCTGCTTCCTGAAATATTTCAGCATCAGTAATTTCCCCCCTTTCTTTCTTTTTGTACATTGACTCTGTATAGTCAGTCCCTCTATTGTCTTTTGATGTTCCTGGATCATTCAAGATTTTTGTCATACTGTCACATCAGTATTGCAATTTATTGCCTGAATTTGTTTTTCAGTTTTTAAAGGTTGAGTAATGCTTTTTCTTTTTCAGTTCCAGTTCTCAGCACATTCCATTATAATATTTTGCTTTGTCTTCTTGAGCTGTTCTTCGAAATCTTCTCTTCAGCTTTTACTTTGTCATCTCTTCCCTTTGTCTTGACCTCTTGAACGTCTGCATTTTCAGTCTCTTCTGACATCTATTTTTGTCTTCTCTTTCTCCTCTATCTCATGTGCAAACTGTTTGCACCACCTGTATCTATATATAATTTTATACATGCACACCTAATTCTGCATTATGCTTATTTATAAGGGCTTATTAAAAGTGTTCAGATCAAGGATGCCACTTTAAAGTCTAAGGTGTGTGTGACTTGAGCCATAATATCTTCGTTTACTACAAATACAGAAGAAAGTTGGACAGTGAATAAGTAAAACCAAAGAACTGATGCCTTTGAATTGCAGTGTTGGTGAACAGTACTGAATATACCACTGATTGCCCAAAGAACAAATAAATGTCTTAGAAGTATAGCCAGAGTGCTCGTCAGAAGCAAAAATAGAGAGATTTCATGCAATCTCACATGGTTGTGCCCTGTTATCAGGAGGAACCAGTCTTTGGAAGGAGATAGTGTGATGGGAGAAATAGAACTAGGGCAGATGTGGGTTAGAGGAGGGAGAGCTCGCTTAGAGGACATCCAGGCCTCCTCTCGCCTGCCCCTGTGCTCACCTTACTCTGCCCACCCCCTAGGCCTATGAGAAGCGCTTCCCCACCTGCCCACAGATCCCAGTCTTCTTGGGCAGCGAGATTCTGAGCGAGTCCCACAGCGCTGATGGCGCAGTGCACGTGGTGGAACGCAGCTGCCGGCTGAGAGTGGAGGCCCCAAGGCTCCTACGCAAGGTGGGCGGGCCTTCAGGGAAAGCTAGGGTGCTGGGGTTCAGGAACCAGGAGTCACAGAAGGGGCTTGAGATCACTAAGCCAGAAACCTGGAGCTCTCAAGGGACCAGAGCATGCAGAGGTGATTCTGGGGTAACAGAGACGTGGGGGCTTGAGACAGGCGCTATGGATGAGAAGCCAGGAGGTGTGGTGGGAACTAGATTTAGAGGCCTAGGATGGGGGAGGAGAGATGAGGAAGGAGAGTGAATAGGGTCCAGAGTAAGGAGTACATAGGGTCTGGGATGAATATCCAGACAAGGTGGAGGGTGGGAACTGGGGTGCTGTCATAAGACTACAGCTGGTAAAGGATCAGAACCTGGAGATGGGCACCACTGAGAGCAGGTACTTGCGTGAGAGAGTTCAGGAGCTGAGTCCAGTGGTCTGGAAAGGGATATGAGGTGCCAGGGATGAGGGCTCTTGGAGGACTGGGGTATGCAAGGGCTAGGTAGCGTTGTCAGGACTAGGGTAATACGAGACAGGAGTGGTTCGGGTGGGGTCCAGGTCTGGGGGTTCTGGGCTTTCATGGAGGACGGCTGTGGAGGAGCCGCCTAGGTTGGGGCTTGGGGCCGAGTTATGATGCCAGGCACTGGAAGATGGGGGCGAGTATGGTTGGAGAGACAGCTAGGGCCCTGATCGGGGTTCAGGCGTCACCAACTGCTCTTCTCCCAGCAGATTGTGGGTGTGGAACATGCAGTCTTTGTGCAGAGAAACGTACTCAACTGGAAAGAGAGGACGCTTCTCATAGATGCACACAATGAGACCTTTGCTAGCCGCATGGTGGTCCTGGAGCACTGCAGCTACAAGGTGAGCTCCATCATTAACCTCACACCTCGCGCTGCCCCATGGGATGCTGCACCCAGGGACTTAGCAGGCCAGATGACAGCAGACACTTCTGTAGTGTGATGCTTTCACAGGTCCCATGAGACAAATACCTGGTAGGAATAGAGGGCAGGAGCACAGCAGAGGTGTTCAGGATGGACATGTGCATAGAATGTGTGTCAGAGATGGCTGAAAGGTTACCACAGATAAATATATTTACTGGATCACCAAGCTTTTCTTTCTAGACCTTCTTAGCCTGCAAAGTCCACTGCTGAGCCCTGTTGGTACTTGAAAGTTGATGGCATAGCTTCCAGCATCACAGCCACCCACAAAGCACACCTCAGGGCAAACTTGACCACCATCTAACTGATTTTAATTCATGGTCTACAGAGCTGTTAGAACCATTCCTAAACCTCACACCTCAGCTTTCCAGGCTGTATGTCTTACAGAAGGACATTACCAGGTCTTTCTTCTCACAGAGATGCTGCTGGGGATTTGAACTTACCATCTTCGAGTATACAGTGCTATTCAGTACCGATTAGACCACCAATATGCACACTCTCTCTCTCCCCCTCCATTCCTTCCTTCTTTCCCCTTCCACTCTCTCTCTTTGTATGTGTGTATATACAAACTCTGCTGTGCTTAAGCCCACTATTACAGCTACTGAGTCTCCCTCACATGACCAATGACAACTTTGTACAAAAGTGCCTATTATTAATCTGGCCTGCTAACTTCGTGTGGAGATATGCTGGTGTAGTCTGTAGAGAATTGCATTGCTAACCCAAAAGAGGTGCCTCTAGCTGCTCTGTGGGATTAAGATAGACATTCTCCTTCTGTGCTATTTACAGCCTCTGAAAACCCTCTGGAGGGTCAGTTATGGGCTGGTTCAGAATTGATGCCAGTGAATGAGTATGTACATGGTTGTTAATGCTAGGTCATCAAGCCAATTCCAACTCAAATACAGAACAAAATACTGGTCCAACTTGCTCTATCCTTGCAATTTCTGCTGTGTCTGAGTTCATTGTTGTAGTCACTGTGTCAGTCCATCTTGTTGAGTCTTTCTGTTTTCTTCTTTCTTGCTGATTTTCCACTTTTCCAAACATGAAAATACATCTCCTGATCACATGCTCAGAGTTTATACAAAGTAGTTGAACCATCCTTGCCTCTGGTGGCATACTGTGTATCATGTATAAATACTGCTGACCACATGTGCCTGATGATTCAAATCCACCAACTCTTAGCAGAAGGATGATGAATACACTCTTCCTTGAAAGATTTACAGCCTTGGATACCCAATGGAGAGTTGCTTTGAATTGGAACTGACTCAATTTGTATCCATACGTACACACACAGTGGCTACACAATGGGATGCAGCACTGCAGAGCATGCAAAGAGGGCACAGGGCCCAAGGGGTTTCCTTCTTTTGTACTTAGGCTGCGATGAGTCAGAATAACTTGATGGCACCCAAGAACAACAGAAGCAATGTTCCCCCTTTAAGTCATTTTGAGTTGCACAAATGGTTAATATGTTTGGCTATTAACAAAGAGTTTAGTGGCTTGAATCTGCTCAGAGATAGAAGAAAGACCTAGCAGTCTACTTGAGAACAACCACCATTGACAGCCCCACACGTAGTGTTCTGCATTACCACATAAGGCTGCTAAGTCATAATTAGCTTGGCATCCAGTGGTTTCTCATTTACACATGTGCAATCACATACACACCAGCTCCAGGGCCACAGAACCAGAGTAAACATCTTCCCCAGCCCCTGGTGAGTCATCTCTTGTTCCCTGATAATTGAGATTGTGGGTGGGGTCCCTGGTCCTCCTCTCTGGGTGCTCTCCACAGTGTGCCCTGGCTTTTCTCAGACCATCAGGAGAGCCCTAGAGGAGGGCTCAGCCTTCTTAGGCTCTGTTACCACCGTGTCTCTGGGTTTCAGGTCCATCCTGAGAATGAAGACTGGACATACTTCGAGCAGTCTGCCTCTTTGGACATCCAGTCATTCTTCGGCTTTGAAAATGCCTTGGAGAAGATCGCTATGAAGCAGTACACAACAAACATCAAGCAGGTGAGGGCTGGACCTCAGAGCCTCCCGTCCTGGGTTCAGATCCCACACTGCTTTCCTGGATCTTAGTCCCCTCATCTGTAAAATGAGAGAACTGAGGCCCAGGAAAGCAGTGACCACATCGTACAAGAGAATGAATTATAGAATTTTAATAGAATTATCCATATCCATAGCAAATGACACCTTATCACTGCCCCAAAGCCCCTTGGTGTTGAGGGCTTGTGAAATGACCTGTTTGGACAGAGGAGGGACATTCTGCCAGGCTGGTTTTGGATTTCCATTCCTAGTTAAAATAATGGCTACTTACTTTAAAGAGCTCAGATACATCAGTGCTGAGCAGAGAGACCTTTGCTTGTAATGAAACAGGTGAACTTGATGCCAATGATACATTTCATCTAACATGGGATAACTCTGATGAGATGTTTTACACTCTTTTCATGTTGTATCAGTGTCTTGTGGCTACTGTAACAAACTTATAGAAATTCATGCTCTCGCTAGTTCTAGAGTCTACAGGTCTGAAATTGAGGTGTCACCAGGGTCATGCTCCTTCCAATGACTCCAGGGAAAGATACATCTTTGTCTTTTCTGGTGGTTCCAGGCATTCCTTTACTTGTGGTGGCAATCTCTGCCAGTGTCTTCACATGGATTTCTTCCTCTGAGTCTCTTCTCTTTTTATAAGAACATCAGTCATATTGGATTAAGCACCTTAATGGCTTATCTTAGCATGATTCTATTTACAAAGATACTATTCCCAAATAAGGCCACACTCAGAGGCAGTAAAAATTGTTGTTGTTGTTGTTGATTGTCATTGAGTCAAGAATAACTCATTGCGACCCTGTGAACAAAAGACCTGAAACATTTCTATAACTGTTGTTTCTCAAAGTTCATAGAGTTTCCAGAGGCATGTTGTTTTGGGGCATATGTTTCAACCTACTTACTACAGGCAAAAAGTGAGAAGGACTTGAAGCACTTGTTGCAGAAGATAAAAAAATAAAGCTTTCATACTTACAAAAAAAAATAAAGCTTTCAGTATGAATTTCATCTCAATGTCAAGAAAACAAAGATTCTTACCACTGGATCATCATGATAGAAGGAGTAAAGATTGACTTGTCAACAAATTCATCTTACTTGGATCTATAATTAACACCCTTAGTACCAGCAGTCAGTAAATAGGAGATGTATTGCACTGGGAAAGTCTGCACTTAGGGACCTCTCCAAATTATTAAGGAATAATGATCTCAGTTTGAGGACTGAGGTGCATCTGATTCTGGCAATAGTCTTTCTGATCACTTGCTATGACTAAGAGAGCTGGACCATAAATAAGGATGACAGAAGAAATGATGCTGTAGTGTTGGAGAAGAGCACTGAACATCATATGGAGTGTCAGAAGAGCAAATATGCCTTAGAGAAGGTGCACCCTGAGTGCTCTTTGGAGGCAAAGATGATGAGGGTTTACCTCACATACTTCGGACATGTTGCTTGGAAAGGTGGAGAGTTGGTGAAGGAGGGGAAGATCCTCAACCAGCTGGATTGACACAGGGACTGCCACAATGAGCTATAGTGTGTCTGTAAATGTGAGAGTGGCACAGGATAGGATGGGATTCAGATCTATTGTTCATAGGTTTGTTATGGGTTGAACTCAACTTAGTGGCTCCTAACACCAACAACAGGTATATCTCAGAGACATAGTGGGTTTAAGAATCGAGTTAATGCATATTTTAACTCCATACAAAAGTTATGTTGCCACTAGACTGTAGTCTTTAAAAGTGTGCAATACTATCGTGGAAAAAAAAATCTTGTGAGAATGACCACAATGGGACACAGAGATGCAAAGTGAGTACATGCTATTGGAAGAATGAGGCTAATAGACTTTCTTGTAGCAGGATGGACACAAACCTTCAATTTGTAAAGAACTTGCAATATTTGTAAAGTGCAATAAAACAAGATGTGCCTGTATATAGATATAAATACGGATGATAGAGATTTAGATAGATATATTCTTTTCTTTTTCCTTTTGACTGTGATTTGAGTGAAAGTTTACAAAGCAAATTGGTTTTCTTTTTCCTACCTTTTCATTGTGATTTTAATAGAAAATTTTGATTTTCATTCATTCATGTTGCACATTATCCTCCTCCTCCTCCCTTTCTCTTCTCCAGTTGACTTTTTTTTTTAAAATACATTTTTCCCTCCCCACCCTCGCCTCTCCCCGTCATCTTTGCAATATATCTCTTTTTCTGGACCATTGTTTACATATAATGCCTAATCATATGTTCCTTTTAATTACTTTCCCCCCTCATCTGTTCCAATACAGTGTTCACTATCTATTCACTCTTTTCCTATTCTTCTCCCAAACCCTCATGTCAGTCCTGCTTCATAATAATGTTATACAGTATATGTCCTTTTGAGACTGAGACATTTCCCTTAGCATATGTTGTCTAGAGTCATCCATATTGTGTGGTGTTTTATGAGGTCACAATTTTCCAGTGCTGGATAGTATTCCATTGTGTGAATATACCATAGTTTTTCTGACAATTTGTTTGTTGATGGGCATTTGCATTGTTTCCATCTCTTTGCTGTTGTGACTAACATAACAAAAACCTGAATGTCCACACATCTGTTTGGGTGGCAGTTCTGGTTTCTTTAGGGTATATTCTCAGCAGTGAAATTGCTGCCTCAAATGGTATTTCTATTTCCAAGTTTTTGAGAAAGCGCCAAACCACCTTGCATAGTGGTTGAATGATTTTTTTTGTTGTTGTTGTTGCTATTGAACTGTTTTACCCTCCCACTAGCAGTGAATAAGGGTTCCATCTCTTCAGAACCTCAACAGTATTTGTTGTTTTTTTGCTCTGTTAAACTTTGCTATTGTTGCTGGTGTGAGAAGTATCTCATAGTGTTTTGATATGCATCTCTCTGATAGCTAGGGATTTTGAACATTTCTTCATGTATTTGTTTGCTATCTGAATGTCTTCTTTGGTGAAGTGTCTATTCATATCCTGTGCCCATTTTGCGATTGGATTGTTTACCTTTTTTTGTTGAGGTGTTGGAATATTCTATAGATTTTAGATATGATCCCTTATCATATATGTCATTACCAAATATTTATTTCCTAGTCTGTGGCTTTCTTTTTTTCCCTATTGGAGAAGTTTTTCTGATATGCATAAAGATTCGGTTTTTAGAAGGTCTCATTCATCTATTTTGCTCTCTCCTGGTTGTAGGTTTTTCTTGATGCTTGGAAGACTGTTCACACTGTGGACTAAGGTTTCTGGAGTTCTTCCAAGATTTTCTCTGATGAAATTTATAGATTTTGACTTAAATCCTAGGTCCTTGATTTACCTTGAGTTGGTTTTTGTGTACTATGTGAGGTGTGAGTCTTGCTTGAATTTTTGACAGATGATTTTCAATTTTGCCAGCACCATTTGTTAAAAAGGCTATTGTTTCCACGTTTGACTGATTTCATCTCCTTGTCAAAAATCAATTAACCTTAGGTAGATGAGCTGATTTCTGGGTTCTCAGTTCTATTCTGTTGATCTATTTGTCTGTCACTGTACCAGTGCCATGCTGTCTTAACCACCACAGCTGTGTAATAGGAGTTGAAATCAAGGAGTGTGATGCTTTCTACCTATTTCTCTTTTTAGGAGTGCTTTACTTATTTGGGGCCGTTTTCCAGTCCAGATAAAATTGGAAATTGCCTTTTCCATCTCATTGAAAAATGGAATTGGTATTGGAATTACATTGAACTTGTAGATTGCCTTTGGTAGAATTGCCCCTTTAATGATATTGAGTCTTCTGATCCATGAGCATGGTATATTTTTCCATTTCTCCAGGTCTCTTTTTGTTTCATGTAATAATGTTATGTAATTTTCTTTGTATAGATCTTTTGTGTCTCTAGTTAAATTTGCTCCCAAAATATTTAATCTTGTGTTGGGTATTGTTTTTCTTAGCTCCTTTTCTGTATCCTTTCCTTTCCTTGTCACTGTAAAAAATGCATCTGAGTTTTGTATGTTGATCTTGTATTCTGCTACTTTGCTGAATTGGTGGACTATGTCTAGTAGTATTCTTACAGAGTCTTTAGGGTTTCCTAAGTATACTATCATATCATCTGCATATAGAGATAGCTTTACCTTCTCTTTGTAAATTTGGATGCCTCTTATTTCCTTCTCTTGTTTTAATCCTTTCACTAAGATTTCAAATTACAATATTGAATAGGAGAGGTGATAATGAGCATCCTTGCCTAGTTCCTGTTCTCCAAGGGAATGCCTTTACTCTTTCTCCAAAGAGAATGATGTTGACTCTTGGTTTTGGATATATACTTTCCACTATATTGAGGAAATTATCCTCTATTCCTATTTTGTTGAGTCTTTTAATTAGGAAAGGGTGTTAGATTTTGTCAAAGATCTTTTCTGCATAAATTTACAGGATCATGTGGTTCTTGTTCTTTGCTTTGTTAATGTGATGAGTTACACTGATTGTTTTCCGTATGTTGAACCATCCTTGCATACCTATTATGAATCCTACCTGGTAATAGTGATTTTTTTAATGTACTGTTGGATTCTATTGGCCAAGATTTTATTGAAGATTTTTGCATCTTCATGACAGCTATTGATCTATAGTTTTCTATTTTGGTTGTGTCTTTTTACATAAATTTGGTATCGTGGACATTTTTTTCAGAGACTGAGTCTGGGAGAATTCCATTTTTTTCTATTTTCTGAAATACTTTATGTAGAATTGGTAGCAGTTCTTCTCTGAACGTTTTATAAAGTTTATTAGTAAAACTATCTGGTCCATGGCTTTTTGTTGTTGTTGTGATAAGTTGTTTTATTACCTGTTCAATTTTTTCTTTTGTGATGGGTCTGTTCAGGTATTCTCCTTCAGTTTGTGTCAATTTGAGTAGATAGTGAGTTTCTAAGTATTTGTCCATTTCATCTAAGTTTTCATATTTGTTTGGATATAATTTTTCACATTCAAAAAAAAAGGTGACCTGACAGAGTGTGGAAATTATCAAA